TGAGATATGGTTGTTTAAAGCTACGTTAAATGTCGGTGAAAGTAATGGTTTTCGTGCACCAGGTGGGGACGTGCATCAGGTGATCAACTACGGTATCTCTTTGGAAAATCTGTTTCTCTTTAACCTCCAAGGATCCGATTCAATTCCTGTCAGCTGTCCATGGGTCTTTACAATTCCCTCTTTGATCCCCAGAGCAGAACTTAACAACGTTGACATCCAGGTAATGGTTATATATAGTAGATAGGGCATTTCTTTGGATATACTATCTTAGTCTCTTCTTTATCTATCTGGCTTCTTAAGGTGGACATAAGTTCACTTCTTATTCAGTTGTTCTATAGAGACAGAGTAATGGGCTGAATAGAAAATTGTGGTAGAACAAGATAATCTTAGAGGGGATATAATTTTAAGCAATAATCAAGATATATTGCGCGGAGTATCATACCTGGGATAGAGATAGATTCTTATTATAACTTGAACCATTTAAAACATGGATATATTTTGCGGGGTTCTACAGAAGACATTGGCCGCATAAATAACACGGGGAGGCGGTTATCATTTATAAAATAATAATCCGGGTTTTTAAGACCGAGAAGATCTATAAAGTGAAAACTGAAGTTAAATAATAGTTATAATATATCGGAGATATTCTTGTTAGATTATATCAGTGTATCTGGTAGTGGAAGTTGGCTAGAGATATAGAAGCCGAATAGATACTGGAGGAGAATAAGGACAGGGATCTATCAAAGGAGATGATAGGCTCGAAGCCGCTGCAATGGATGATTGCGGAAAAAGAAGAACTGGGCCAGCCCAATATTGAGTCAGATTGTTCCGACGAGTAAGAGAAGGGTATCAATAAAGATTCTAGTATTCTTATTACTGTTCTCGCGGCTGCCGTTGGACAGAGTATAACAAGGGGCTGACAGCTGGAAGCTACATATTCGCATTGGTGGCGGTTATCATAGCTACCCTTTCCTTCTTTGGTGCTCTATTTTACAATAGAATATATTTGACCTCTAATACCATACACTCGAGATGTAAGATGCATTCACCAGCTGCGGAACAATACATATACCAGAGTAACTCAATGGCTGCTTCCAGGGTGTATGAAGAAGCGTTGATTGCGTCAGTTTAAACGCTTAAAGGTTCGATCAGTGGAATACCGCGTGCGTTGGATTCAGTGGGAACAGCATAGGGAAAGGTCTAAATAGCTTCGATATTCCTATTTAGGGCGCATAACCGGGCTCATAAACTGTCGGCCAGCTAAATATGCGCAAGAGCTAGTATCACTGATGTATGGATAAGAATCCGTTTATATTGAAGAACGATGTCTCTAAGGTCTCTGACTCTCAGAGTAAGGTCTCTATCTGTCTAAATCTATCTGAAAGAGCCGAATAAAAAATGATCAAAACAATAGAATAATGTCGAGCCGAGCGGATACTGAATAAATGTGTAATATTGACCCTTTTTATCCGACAGCTCTACACCGTGTACATCGCTGTAGTGTCGGTGGGGTAATCAGACGCACTACAAGAAACTGACCTAATAAAATATCTTCACTTACCATTAGGAGCTAACCTAATTGGGTCCTATTTTTATGGTTGAAAAACGTCGGAGTGGTGGGTGCAGGGAAAAGTGGTCCGCTCGGTGCTTTAGGCCGCTCGGTGGTTGAACTACGTTACGTGTTCTGTTTGTCGGCCTTCGGAGGGCAGGCCTTAACCCCACCTCTATTTTGCGGGTCTGACGGTAGCCCTCGGAGGGTCGCTCGCGAGTGGGGCCGAGCGAGGCCTATAGAGAACTAGCCGCCACCTCATGCTCTTCCTGATATTCTACAAGGGACACGAGTCATGCTGGGCTATGTATATATCCATTGATGTAGTTCCTCCCTTGCTATATGTAAACATAAAAACAATCCACCACCACTATGTTTTCCTTGTGGCCAACACAGACTGTCCTACTTTATTTTCTCTCAGTGCTCTTACAAGGCACAGCCTGAGGCACCAGTACCAGAGCCAGCAAAACTGTAAATCCCGCGCAAACTCAAAAGCAAGCTTAGCTTCAACCTTACTTTTGGCCCGGCCAATCAGAGCGCCAGCGTATCGGTCTTTATTGATCTCCACTTTTGGTGCGCATCTCCGTACTAGCTTAAGGTCTCAAATCTCCGATATGGATCCAACTACCCCTTCAGTGATAGTGCAAGTGGCCAATGACCACACCATCCACTATCAAAACGGGACGGCCTAGACTCTTAGCTGGAAGCGGAAATAGAGGCTAGGAAGTCAATGTTGAAAACATGACAGTTATGGCCTGGGTGTTTGGGTTTGAGTTTGGGTTTGTCTTTGGGTTTGTCTTGAAGTCTCTGCCCCCATGAGAAGAGGCATTGGGGCTCGTTGGGTCTGTATATCCTCTGATAGACCAATCTCCCTTTTCTCTCTAGCCGGTGGCGAGCGAAAACGTCAATGCAGAGAACGTTTAAATGCGTATGCTGCATACGTTTGGGCGCTCTTATATCCTGGAGGATGAGCAGTCTTCCTGCCAAATGGTGCTGTGTAACCGATTCTCGGCTCGTCGCCCTTCTCCCCTTAGTACGAAGGGTTTCTCTTGGTTGATGAGACAGTGATGGAGATCTCTAACGAGCAAGCCGGCCTGTTGGTGGTGGCCTGGGCTTTTGGAGGGATTTCGGTGCTTGTTGTCGCGCTGCGCGTCCTGGCGAAAATAAAGATTCAACGGATCATGCTGGATGATGTAATTATGGTTTTTGCCTTGGTACTCTGATGTCCTTTCATCTTCACCCGGAAGCATATGCTAATCATGATTACGTGCTTGATTGTCTTAGTGTCTTGGACTCATCGCCTCTGCTCTCCTGACCTGCGCTATCCTATATGGCTACGACCAGCAGACAAAAGATGACATGGGGATGAATGCGACGGAGGCTCGGAAATTTGGCTCGCTCGCGATAGTATTTACGGTTGCCTGTGCGGCTACAGCGCGCACTGCCTTCGTGCTGTATCTAGCGGTGATTCTATCAAGACAAAAATGGCACCGGATCATCCTGATTGCCCTCATGGCCCTTGAACTCGCTGTCAATGCTGTTTCAATTATCTTGGTCTTCGCCTCGTGCAATCCTGTGCACGCGGTTTGGGATTATTCAATTGATGGTGATTGTCTTTTAGATTCCATCCAGATCGGGTATGGTACTTTTCTGAGCAGTATGTCTCTCTGTGCATGTCCCCACCTTGCCTCCCTACATTGTAGATGAGTTCGTCAACTGAACCTTGCAAGTCTTCAACGCCACCGTTGATCTGTATCTCGCTGTGGTGCCGACCTACATCTTCTGGCATCTTAACCTGCGGCTTCCAGTTAAACTCAGTTTGATCTGTCTAATGAGCCTTGGTCTGCTGTAAGCCACTTCCTATCGCCAATATCCTTTGCCCCGTCATACACATACTAATCTTACCATGTGAAAGAGCGATGGGAGCTTCTATCGGCAAAATCATGCAGATCCCTGAGCTGCAGAACGATATGCTCACCGGCACCTCCAACCTCGTCCGCTGGGCCTTCATCGAAGCATACGTAGTGATCATTGTCGCCTCGCTGCCGTGTCTGCGCTCTCTGTTCCTATCTGGATTCCGCTACAAGGTTAGTAGCAAGCAGCGGTCGCGCGATTACGAACTCACTGCAACGGTCAAGGGCAGTCGTGGTGGGCCGTCGTCCCTGATCACGACGCGTCACAGAACAAACTCGCGCTTGCGCAATATCCTTCCAAAACCAGGGAACCGTGAAGATGTGAGTGATACTCATATACTCGGGGGTATGAATAGCGTGGAAGCGGCAGAGGCGGGTGAGAGTTCTCGAGACCTGGGAGTTGGGATCTGGAAAGATGTGGAGTTTCAACTTTCTGAATTCAAGGTCGAGAGAACGAGCGTATGAATTTGCTGTACAGTATATTTGAACATAATACTCCTTAAACCAGATATTTAAGTCTTGTAGCTCGATCATGTTATTTTGCTAGGATCTTGTAGCCACATTCATACAGGATTCTACGTTTTAAGCAGCCAACGGTTATAGGCCACTTGATACAGGGAGTGGAGCCTAAAGCCGAAGGCATTCATTCATTATCTGCATTCTGCATGAAAGCACACTTTAAAAGGAGAGATGGATACAAATGTCCAGGATTAGCGCGCAATCCTGAGGATCTTGGAATGCCATGAAGAAGACGAAGAATATAGGATGTAGTTTGGCAATACGATCGGCCTCTTCTCTAGATATATCTTCGTAGCATATTGTTTCGGATCGCACAGTTTCCTACTTGGGATCTTAAGACTTCACTTGTTGCTGAAAGGGTTTTTTATCTATACAAGTTGTATCACAAGCGACAAGGCGCTTATGTTCCGATTGACAAGTACGCATTTCCAGCGGACGTTGTCGTGCTTAGAAGCAGACAGAACAGCCACAATCCGAACTTGATTAATATTAGCCTTGATTGCTCTTGTAGAGTAAGATTCTTCTGAGGATCTGTTACTGGTTGTTCTCCCGCTCCAAAAGAAAAGCGAGCTCTTGTCCACTCAGCTGCTTCGGCACTAGGTGAGAGGCTTTGACATCTCTAGTCTTATACTAACCGGGGAGATAACACCACACTTGTTTGAATGATTGAAAGCTTTGTAGCGCTTTAGAACATTCTCTCGAAACTCTGCCTGGTGCTCTTTGGTGAAGCGACTTGTTGCTGGCTTAGCATACAAACTCATAAGCTCGGAACAAGAGAACTGGAATATGCACGTTCGTAGAAGTCAATGTCAGGCTCTAGACTTCGCTGTTTCTACACTATCAGCTAATGAGCGTTGGGCTTTCTTCTCGTAATTTACATATGTTGCTCAGCTCTACTTAGTGATGAAGTGCAGGGCGAGAGACCTACCGGTCATGCTGTACCTTCTCCGTTGGGTTATGTTTATGGGGCAGCAGGCTCCAATATCCTGAGATATTAGAATGATATTAAGCTTGCTCTCCTATCTGTCCACACTTAGTACTGATGTTTCTTATTATCTGCCTGTCGGAACGCTTTCTCTGCAACGCAAATATTTTCTTTAAGGTAGTGGGTTTATTACATTGAACGGTAAGGCGAGGAGAGGTATGAGGAGAGGCTTCTCTAAAGTAGGAAAAGCCGGTCTAATGAGATTTTTGTTGCAAGCGACTAGAAAGTGGAGCTCCCTCAGCATGGAATATTGGTATGTGAAACATTATTACCTTGCTATTTAAGCCGAGCTCCTCAGCGGTGCATCAGTAGCATGCGGGCAGCCTCTTCCCTTCTACTCTATAAGCACCCTGAAAGACATCTAATATCGGGGCTCACAACCTCAATTCCGATCAGTCTCCACTCGTGATTCCCTATCTTACAATCACCCTAGGTATCTCGTCGAGCACAGAGGGTAACCTCGGGAACTTAATTCCCTACAAGCTTTGTTTCTTAGTGAACTGGGTGACCTCGGCTGCGGTCCGTCCAATCTGGTTGCAAACACAACCAGCAGAACCCCACCTGGGCAACTATATGATTGTACAGTATTCCCTTCTATTGCAACCGTGATGAGAAATGTGTCATCTATCTTCACTCAGCAACAATTAACCATGGCTCCCCCAACAGCAATTAAGACTATTAGCAACATTACTGTGCAGGTTCCGCAGTCAAGCCAGGTGGAGGGTGCCGAAAAGGCCAAAGTCAAGATGCAGATGCCCAGCATGCCTAAGTTTGAAGATAAAATGCAGGAGCGAGAGTATCTTAACGGCCGCCTGGCTGCTGCGTTCCGAATCTTTAGCGAGAATGAATACGACGAGGGTGTGGATGATACACGGTCTATCATGGATACGCGAAGTACAGATACCCACGGTTTATTGCAATAGGTGTCGCCGGACATATTCCTCTTCGCGACCCAGTTGACCGGTCAACTTTCTGGGTGAATCTCTTCGGTATTGCTTTCTCTTGATCAAGGCATCCGACTTGATTCTGTTCGTGCTACTGGTGTCAAGCCACTCTTAACCAAACCTTCTAAATATCCTATTGAGGAGGGCTCTTACTGCAGTTATAGCCTTTCTAAAAAAGTTATACTATATTCTACAACTCTTTTAACACAAATAATTCCTTTAGCTCCAATATCCAAGGGCCCGTTTTGCGGCAGCAGATTGAAATTACTTCAGTTCCTATAGAGACATCCCGAGGTTTCTATGGAGTTAGGTAACCAAGGCAGTTCTCATGCCCGCGGAGCCCTGGGTCAACTTGGCGTAGGCACAGTTCGTTCGAGCATGCTGCCTACAAGCCTTTGGTCTTCGTATTTCTATACTGAAAAAGTCGCGATGGAACCATCCCAATACTGGAAACGCGTGTTATCAGCTACAGTGCTTTTTGTCTTTTTTGTTAACTAATATTGCATAAAGCCCCTAGGCAAAACCTCATACAGTCTAACAAAAGCACATGTACCACGACCTCCCCTTCTTCCCATCTTGGCCAAGGTATACACCTTAAATACCTATACTCTCTTTGAGTCACTATCACGTATCACAATTGTGGGTATTTGGCGCGAATATTGAAGTGGAGGATCAATCTCCCTTCCAGGTTGTCGCAGTTGCCGCAAGAGAATGACGATGAAATTCCGCGTAAACCAGAAGAGAAGTATCAACGCGCCGTAGAACGTGACCATGTCTGGTACTCGTGGCCAGGGGACCGCCTGCTGGGTTGCGCCTGACCGGCCGGATGATGCCCCAACTTGATCGGCATTGTTCCTGGATGCGACGCTGTCCTCTCAATCTTTGCTGACGCTTCCATGAGTAGCACGAGTAGTACATACATTGGATCCATTATACCACCTAGCAGTATTTGACTTGAGGCTTGGCTGGGGTGCATATTCTCTCTTTGCCCTAGCTCGAATGGTCGTACTGAATCGGGTTATGGGTTAACCTTTTTGATGGGGGTTGCCGGATATATAGAGGAATTTAAAATACATTACGCGAACCACTGTGTCATGGAATAGAATATTGCATAGCTCGCCCTAGGCAGCAACCTTAAAAGCGACACAAGCTCGAGGGACTGGGAAAGAAACTCACGATCCGGTCATAACGGGACTTGTACCTCTGGAACCGGAACATTGTCAAAGCTGGGTTAGTCTCTCGGTCCGTAGTGTATTTCGTGCCCATTACTAGACCTGCAGGGCGTCGCCAGCAGTGGCCATGATCCCCAAGTTACGTATGTTCTCATCAACATATTCATGGGAAGACTGACGGTTTATCAGGTCTGTTATAGATATTGGCGAGGTCGCGCTGTGACGACTTGTACCATCACATAAAAGCCGAAGTAATGCTTGCATCCTGATGCACTGTTCAAGCCTCTCCTTCGCCAGAAAGCTCATTCCGACTAACTACATAGTGGGTACATGCGAAAGCGAAGGATTAATTCATATCCAGTCCCGTGAAGTGCTGCAACTAGCTCCGCCCTAGGCTCCGCGGAACCCGCCCATCTGATACTAGTGAGTTTCGGACAATGGACCTCTGGTTTGTCTTCTTCTGGTCAAAGATAACCATGACAACTTCTGATTTCACGCTCCCTCAAGGCCAACCAATTCTTGGCATATATTAAAAGTTATTTTTATGTATATTTAAGAGCGAGATACAGTCTAGTATATCGAGTAAACGGTATCTCCTTTTCCATTCCATTAAGTGCTGAACTAGGCGAAAGCACGCCGGAAACAGACCAAATACAATGATAATAAATGTACTTCAGTGCCTGCTCTAAACTATTCCTGAGGCTTCCTAGCATGAGGTGCATCAAACGGCCACATAGTTTCTAAGCTACATTCGCACAATCCCCGGCCCCGGAAAAGCCTGTCAATGAAACCAAGCCACTCTGGGGCTGACGCTCCAAACACTGCCGAATGTTCTAGCCCCGGATAGATGCTCAGCTGCAGGGAATTTCCGGCCTCACAGCTCTGCTCGTAGGCTCGTTTTGTGATGCTTGGATATACCGTAGTATCATTCCCGCCCACAATGACAAGAAGCGGCCGTGAAGTCGTATCGCCCTGCCCGGGGGCGTTCAGGTCTTGAAATTCCTTGATTGCCGATAAACTATTGAGAGTGTCATTTGATAAGATCTGTGAGGAGTCCAGGTCGCGCAACACAGCGGGTAAGGCAGCTGCGCAGAGCTGGGCACGCTCCCCCAGCCCAATCCGTCTCTTGGCGAGGTCGGACAGGAAGGGCGCGGTGTAGTTGGGATAAACAGCCCGCAGAGCAAAGTAGAGCGAAGGCACGTAGGAACTGGATCCATAGCCCTGGAGTTCGTCGCCCGAGGAGCCCTCGGTCAAGCTGAGTCCCTCTAGAACAGCGTTGTAGATATGCGTATTGGGTGCAACCGCGACCCCCCCTAAGTATCCGCTCTCCTCTCTCTGTACCTGTTCTTGTTCTGACAGCTTCCAAGACGCACCCCCGCCCTGCGAGTGCCCGATCGAGACCCATTCCTCAGATAGGTCGCGCGGAAAAGCCTTCTTCGCTGCAATGACTGACCAGTAGATGTCATTTGCGTTTGCCTTGGTAGCGATATATTTGTGGTTCGTGTAGTTGTTTCCCAAGCCAACGTAGTCAGTGCCGACAACAGCGTAGCCTGTGAACAGGAGAGGGATCCAGGTATCATAGTCGTAGAAGTTAGAGGAGGTCGATGGAGCACAGCCTCGGAATACGCCGGATGTTCCATGTGCGAAAGCGATAAGCTTGTATGGGTCGGCTTGGTAAACGTATGGAAAGGCTATGAATGCGGTAGCGGGAACAGTGGAATTATCCAGGTCGACTGATGTGTACTGCATCTTGTATGTCGTGATACCTCCGGGGACGTTCATGAGCTTGGGATTGACTGGCACAAGCTTCAGGACATCACCGGGTTTGGAGGAAGAGAAATTATCGGCCGTTGCGTAGAAGTCAAAGTCAAAGGGCGTATCGAAGTCTTCAAGATCAGATATATTTGTCGTGTTTAGGTACTCTTGACAGCTTTTCTCGCAGTCGTATTCTTCGGCAAGCTCTGGAGAGACTGGGTAGTTGGACGCCCGGTCCAGCGTGCTAGCATAGGCTGTCGCCAACGCCGCTACTAGAAGCTGCGTTGACAGAGATAGCATTGTTTCAGTTAGGAAAGGGGTGACCAATAGAAGGACAATGAATAACAGCATACAGGCTGCCAGCGTAATCGATTACTTTTTTTCTAGGTGAAGGCTTGGGCACTTTATATGGAATTTCCCCGGAATATTTGCAGGTCGGGGGCGGGGCGACTAGTCTGACCGGAGACCATTCTACAGTACGCATTTATGTGTAAAATCTTTGTATCTGCAACACCCGAGCAATTTCACGCTATCCGCAACTGGCAACCGCGGAAAATTGGGTTTCCCGTACAAAATTTCATAAAACCTCAATTATATGAACATTTCATAAAAGCCCAGCACTACCTTATATAAAGTTGCAGGTAAGGATGAATCTTGGACCTAAACTGGGTATAGGATGAGCACGTGATATATCGTATATTCCCGTATAATCTCACTCATATTACCAAAAGTAGTTGATCATACAGGGCGTTGAATTATCTGGCCAATAGAAATGCTTACTCGACAACTGTAACACCTCGACATCTGCAATAAAGTGCCTAGTCAGAATTGGTTGCAGATAACGAGGTATTACAGTACTCGTTCGTCAGGTAGTCAAAGGCGCTGGTCCCTAAATCCCCTGCTTTGAAATCGATGTGACGCTCGGCATGTCAGTCTGCCGTCTGCCTACATGAACGGCAACGATGATCCCACACCCACAGCTATGTTTCGGTGCTAGCCAATGTGCTTGATAGGAATCCTGTAAGGTCTACCTCGGCACCTGCACTGGGTATTGTTATGTGTATGTACCTTCCATACGGAGAAATGCGCGGGTTCAGCAGCGCGGCGTTCGCGGATACCCGACTTTTGATTGATGTTTGCCCCATTAAGCAAAGATTGTCCTTATCCCGGCAGGAACATTTGCTTGCCGTGTCAGGTTGGCCCAATTAAGATGTCTGGAAGTGAGTGTTAGCCCTCTCCAGGGAAGGAACACGAATACTGTATACGTGACGTACTACATGATGCAGACGTACGAAGCGCTTCCAAAAGCCTGTTGCCTACAGGCAAATACCGGTTATACCGAACCGGGGTCTAGATATGTCTATCTCATTTTACTGTAGCCAACGAATGTGCTTAAACTGTTCATGTGGTGGGGCAGGGGGCGGGGAGTATGCTAAGGAATGAGCCACGCCGTATGCAAGACATCCAGCACAAAGAGTATCTATATGTCCAGCGCGCCTCCGCTTGTGGGAGGACTGTCCAGCCAAGGCAACAGGCAGCCTTCCACGCGGTTTGCAGTTACCTGCAGCTAGCTGTAAAGAACTCGGTGGAAGAGCTTTATAGGGTCTTCGGTATAGGAGGACTGCAATGTAGACGTATTGACTACACACCAACCATCATATAGATCAGAGGAGCTTATAGAACAACGATATATTCAAATGTTTTACTGGATCATTCTCATTAGGAGCGTAGGGTAAATAAGTCCCTATTTATCATATGCGCGTAATTGTACGCGGCTCCCCTCGAGGATTGGCTGTGACCAATCCATGGATCCACTGCTTAGATATAGCCTCTGCTAAGCCTAACCCTTCACACTAGTAGAGAAGATGCACTACAGTTGTTTTCTTCTTGACTCGCGCTGAAAGATATTGGTCGACAATTCGGTCGTCACCCGCGGAGCTGTGAGCAAGATCAGAGAGTCACGGAGGGTTTGCTGTTGAAGACCAGGTTTCTGGTGTGATCGCTGAGTTTGCAGGATACCTGAGGGTCGGCCGAGGTTTCGACTAGACGACGGATCCCGTCTCGGAGAGGACCACCTTTAGGGACATCGCAATAGAGTACTGAGGCGCTAGTACTCCACTCGGTAAAATACGGGAGGCCTGGAATAACTATGTTCCAGAACATTCTGTAGGTAAAGGAATGGTGCACTTGCATAGAGCATTGCTCACCGATTGATTCCAATCCCTGAGCGACCAGGGGAAACTCTGAATCCGGACGGGTTCCGCAGAAAAGCAAGTTCAATAGCAAGCAAGGTGTATCCAATTGTTGGCGCGCTGGTTCACAGCTTCCGGCCTCGTGTTAACGAAGGTTGTCTGCTTCTGAAGACGGAGACTCAGACTCTTCTCCAACAGAGGCTCCATTCTAAGTCGTTTGAGGTCTGGATATGTTCGAGAATATGCCACGCAATGTTACCTGGAGATGACCAAAGCCGTCCATGGCTTACGAATGGACGATCCCCTGATAGCCCCCGGAGCAAGAAGTTATGGCACTGAATGATATTTGCCTGAAATAAAAATTGCTCGGGAACGAAGGGGCGGCTGGTTACGGAGATAAGCGTTTGGTATTTTAAAGATACAGGAATTTGTGAGATGCGAGCGGCTTGGTTGGAGGGAGGTCCTAAAACTCCTTCTCAACTTCGTCCCAGGCAAGCCCTCTAGCCACCAATTTCTGTAAGACCTTATCTTCGGCCGCTGAGTAAGGTCGAGCACTACGGGGAGTAGGCAATGTACTGGATGCTTCAGATGCTTCAGCTCTAACTCTCGCCCTTGTTCGAGGATCACTTGCTTTCTCATCCGTCTCCAACGCAGCGACTGCGGGCCTCTTTCGGTTGGTAGGGTTTGATCGGGCGCTCTCGACCTTGACGCGCATGCTACTCGAGGTACCTAGCATGTTCAGTCACTTGACGGTTGAGCTGTGGAGGGGATGTTTCAGCCACCTGCCCGAATGAGGGCTGGACCTTCGATAGGAGTACATCCAGCAAGCCTACCTCGCCTTCAAAAAGCGCACAACGCCTCATGAGACCGTCACCATCATTTTCGCTTATGCTATCACCGCCAGAACTTTCGCAGGTGCAAGGGAGTTTCTCAGGAACTTCAGACGCTGGGTTGGCGTCGGCATGACATATCCCATCGTCGGCACACCGCGGCGACACTAACAACTTACGCCCGCATGGATCGTGATTCTGCGCAAGCAAGAAGGTATCTAGTGGGCGGATCGGCAATATCAACATTGAAGCTGCTCGTCACTTCGCAGTCACCTCCAAGTCCCTGGGTCGTATCTGAAAGGATCACTGTTGAGCAAGGTCCCTTGATAATAAGACGTGGCAGATTCGTACGTACCTTCGCTTGGCAGTGAGATAATGTACTCTGCTATGGGGCTGCCAAGCAACCCAATTTGATGGTCTGAAGGGAACTCGGGCTCGTCGTTGACGGGAACGCATTCGCCGTGATTGTTGTGTTGAGATGTGGTGCTGTCGGGTGGGATTACAAGATCACGGTCAGGTGGAGTGTATGCATGGAAAAAGTACTTGGAAGTGCGAGGTTTTTGGGGCAGTGGATGATTCAAGGGGCCAGATGGAAGTGAAGAAGAGAAATTGCAGGGTGAGAAAGTGCGAGGGAAAGGGACAGTGTCAAATTGTGGCTTTCGGACAGGAAAGGAAGATGTCGCTAGAGGTCCGCTGTAAGAAATCTGACGATTCATACTGGATGAGGCAAGGGTTGGGAAGTGAATTGAACGCAGAAGGTATCAATGGAACTCAAGAGATAAACTTTGCTATGTGCATAGCTTCTCAACAAGAGATACATCAGGGTATTTATAACCTGCCCCAGCGAGGGAGACATCAATGTGCTGGGATAATTTTTTCTTGCTTCAACAACAGAGCACAGTAGCATGGATTTGCTGTTTTCCTGTAGTTCAAGAATTGCGGATCCTGCGGTCCAACCACTCCATGTAGCGCCTTGAAATTGTTGTTGCATGGCCTCCCGGTTCGATACACAGCCCTTTGTGAACAGTCATTCCAGCCGAGTTTTCGGTCAACTGGAGGATTTACCCAACATTACCCACAATTGACAATTGCTGAATGCACTCGTCATTGAATGATTGAATGATTGGTTGATTCATACACGCATCTGTCAGCCCTAACGGCCGATTGGCGGACAGGTCTATCTACAGCCGGCTAGCCGCAGGGCAGTCTAGCTGTGTACATGGAGCGTGTGGCATACTATATCCATCCAGACCTCTTTGTAAATTTCATCACTAACAACAACGCTCACTCATGCAGTTCTCCGTTAGTATCACTCTCACCTCTAAATACCTGTACTACATTAGCTCCTCTCACATCCACCTCCCTGTCACGCTCACGCCATCGTTGGGTCCGGGCCCATTAAGCATCAGTCTTTGTGTGCCTGCACCGTGGTGCCTCGAAAGCCACCCCGGATATCATTGTGATCAGTTACGTGCTGTTTCTTCCACAAATTCGACCTCGATCCATCAAAAAATAAGTTAGCATTAACTTCAACAGATTTGTGGCCCTTACGCATGCCTGCGTACCTTTCTTGACCAAGAAACATACACTGACCAGTCTCATATTGTAAGTTATACTTGCCGAACATGCCACACCGACGTTGAAGCGATAGAGAGTTAATATCGAATAGTACGGGCTCCCACATTGTCATTGTGCCTGCTGCACCTATGCCTGCATATTGCGTATCTAAGGCAGCACTAAATGTATTCGTGCTTTGCTTGCGCGAGCAGCTGTCCAAAACAAATGTGAAGGATGTCGAAATCTCTGCCCCTCTAGTGCAGAGTAAGTTCGTATTCTATCACCATTCTTTCCCAGGATTAAACTAGTTGATAAATACCCAAGCTTCGTGATTACATGGGGGAGGAGAAAGGGCGAGGTATGGGTATGTCGTTGAGTCTGCCGGACCCCAGGAGGTGTTCGATGATATCCTTGACAAGAGAAAGACTGCTTTTGATGACCCGGCGAAGATGAGGACAAATTTCTGAATTATAAGCGTACGACTATCAGGGGCAGCGGCACCTAGAAGGGCATCACTAATCCCTTTATTCCTTTCTAGATCCCGATGGCAAAGTCCAGCCCCACCGATCACAAAAGACACCTCTTGCTGAGTAACGTCAGATACATGGAGAGAACAGACGGAAGCAGCCCGAAGATTGAGAGAAGAAGGAAAGGGATGGGACCGTAATCGACTAACGAAATTTGTTGAGTTTCTATGATTATGTCACACTGTACTCGTCGAAGTTAATACAAACAATTGTACATCCTATTTTCAACTTTCAGAGTAACAGCAGTGGATGTACTGGGCTCTCATTACCATCGGCGATGGTGAAGTCTTCATCCAATTCGGATTTGTAAATGCACCTCGAGCATCACACAGGCCTGAATATCCCATGCCCTAATGGGTCAATACTATATATATATTGGCATATATATGAAGCAATATTCTAGTTACGTCAAGTAGAGATATAGTGAGCCAATATGAGCAGAAAAGATTCGTCACCATTCTTAGAGAGACAAAAGGTTAGTCTAGGTTTTAGTTATAGTTCAAAAATTGTAAGATATCCTCTGATTTAGCAGGCTCTCATGGTGTCAAGTGTCAATGAGACTCATCCTTTCCCTTGATGTTAATTGATATATGTGAACCTTTTGGACTTGGAATCAAGTACACTGTGCATTATTCAAAAACTATGACTGTCTAGCGAGATTGTCGCCAGCTCGATTTGAAAGGCACAAATCTGGGCCCCCCAGCCGTTGTAGTTCGGTACTCTATTAGTGAAACAGAGCTGGCGAGGTGATGCCTTATCAGTACGTTTGCCATCGTTGCCCTTAGCGCACTGTGATATTTCGACTTCATGTGATAACTTTGACCAACTAACGACGCATCGTTTTCAATCAGAGTGTTATATTCAACTAGTCCAGCACTATACAAATTCAAAACCTGGTGGAATGCACCAACTCTCATCCGGAACCCTCCCTCCTTCAATGTCCCCTCTCCTCCTGTCACCAAACCCAACGATAACTGAAATCCCCACTAGCAAAGCAGACATTATGAGTTGTATCTATTTCACCTGCGCAGACCAGTTTGACACAGTGAATGTAGATTTTCCGCCAGTGAATGGCTCCGTTCCAAATTGCATGGCTGGAGGGAGTATAACCTGTTAGCATAAATCACTTTTAGGACGCCTTTCTTTGTAGTCACGTACTGATGAGGTATTGGCTACTAGCTGGATAACTTTGGTGTTGAGTTAGGTAGTCAAAGAAGCCCTTGATATCCCCACTCCAAGAGGTAATAGGGCTGGAAGCAATAAAGCTGTATGTCTTTTGCGCGCCATTGACACCATACCACAGCTCCCAGGTATTGTTACCCACGAAGGCCGTCGCAATTCGGGAACCTATGGGTTGAACGTGACCGTATCTAGCCAGCCTGAGTGCTTGGTTTAGTAATGAATGACAAAGAGCTGCGACAGCTTACATACCAGATCATAAGTTCATAGTCGCCATTAGAGGTATCATGGTTGATATCCGCTGCAGTGAAAAGGTCATACGAGACGTCGGCACGGATATTGGTAGTATCATAGCTCCATTTCACTGAAGTGGGAATGCTGCTGATGCTGCTGACATGTTGCTTCTTCAGGTTAATCAAACCCGAATTGGCGTAGCTCTTCACATCATTCTCACGGCCAGACCAAGTCCAAGTGGTGGACCACGAGATGCCTGAACCCGAGACGGAGTTGACGTAAGAGCACTGAGAGCCAGTTGCAGAATCCTTCCCCCAGAGATTATTGTTGACACTGTAGTTGCCACTGCCATAGTAGCCATATTGGTCACATAGCGTCTTCTGCTGAGCAAATACAGCAGTAGCAAATACAAGTAACAAAGAAGTTGTCTTCATTTTGGGCAGAAAGTAGATAAAATATACTGTTGTGTTAAAAAATCAAAATAAAGTGGTACATTCTCAAGTAGTACTTCCTCAGAGACTTTATAGCTGTGACAGAGGCACAGCCAATCCCATCCTTTGCTTTTCCGTCCAAAGGATCAACCATAAACGGGAGGAAACTTAATTTACTCTGAAATTAAACTGAGACATGCTCTCAGAGCTCCATAGACTACGCAATATCACTGTTTATGAGATTAATAAAGGCTGTAGCTAAACTTAGAGACCAATGCTACATAATTAAGTTTAGAGAATAGTCGAGCAATATATGCTCACTTAATATCACAACAATATAAAGCCATATCATGGTGATGCTCTCAACCTCGGAAGTAGATCTCTAGAATTGTTGGTCAAATTATACCTGCCTATTTTACACCAGACGTTGAGGCGCCGATCTCGTTATTTTGAGGCATTTGTGTAGTTCCGGCAAATTTCTGATTGTCGATCTAGCCATCTAGAGGAAGTCGCTGTGTATTTATTTCCCTGAAGCGGTACAACACCTGGTATCCAGTATACAACAGATGAAAGTTTCTCTTCCGGCTGGGGCTCCTTGTTATTAATGGTATAGCTCATCATGCACTAATTTCTCAATTCTGGAAGTTCATAGAGAGTTAGCCTGCGCCCTACCTCAGATCGGGGCGGACCGCCTGCAATGATGTCTGCCTACAGATGGCGCAACTAAGTGAGGCGAGAGGTAGACGGATAATCAAAGTTTATTTAATATGAGACCTGCGCTGAGATGAAAGGAGGGAACATGCGATGTAAACCAGATTAGAAAGTAGCAATATTAAATACGCGTACTTCCTCTACTTATCAAAAGCGGCTTTCGTACGTTTAGAAGAAATAAATTGTACTATAGCAATTGCTTCCAATTTCTCCATTTCAAGACTCATTCACAGTGGTAAAAGGCGTCAGTGGGAAAGTTCGTGATAAAGCAAACCGTATATAGGCACCCTTCAAACGGCTGTAGATGATACTAGGTATGCCCTATTTAACAGTAGCTTTACCATGTCTTGTGAACACAGAGGAAGTGGAAGCGCCTTTTACGGAAAAGATTTTCATGATCTCAAATTAATCTGGAAATATTGTACCATGACTCAACGAGATCAGATACAAGTGGTTCTTGGGCAAGATTCTCGAATCACGTCTACAGTCCTTGATCAGCAAACCGGGAAAACCATTTTTAGGATAAATAATAAGTTGACGATGGTCACATCCCATTAAAGAAATGCATGGAACCTTATTGGATTCTACCGGCCATGGGTAATTCTCCGTGAGACAGCCACTAGTCAACATAATTGACAGCAGTACAGGGGGCAAGTAACCTTGTGCACCAGCCTTGACCAACCGCATAAACTGAGCCCACCAGAAAAATACCCTGTTTCGACGAGAGCCTCTTCCAACACGGGATTATGGTCCAGCAACTTGTCTCAGGCTTGTGGGCCACTTGACTGGAGCAAAGAACATTGAGTTTGGTAATGTCTCGGAGTAGAGAACTATGTGCCCCTAGCCTTGGAACTACCGTGAGACTCTCCAGTTTAGGAAGCTCGACCCGGTTGAGGTATTAATTCTGATCCGATTATTGTCAAACTGTTGTGGATTGTGGATTCAGGGAAAGTTAGCATCTGAAAGGAGACAAGACGTCGATTGAGTAGTATCTTGCCTGAATAGATACAGGAAAGACGGAAGGTCTTCAGGGTTATAAACCCGTATGCTTGCCAAGGCGCTAGCTATACACCATATCTTTAATAGAACCGGTGAAACCAGGGTCCAGAGTGGGCGTCGGGCGCGCTCTACGTAGATTACGATTTGATCTAGCCCAGTATCGTATTTCCCATGTGGGTACAGATCCTAGATTTGTATATTTCTTTGCATACATGAATCGGCTAGGAATACCCAAACTTACCATCCTTTATTACTTGCTGCCAATCAGGATCTATGTGAGTAGAGATTTTTGAATATGCAATTACCCGCCATACGTGGCCCTCACCGCTTTCGCGGTATGGGCCACTGGTAGCTTAACTACGAGAATTAGACCTCCGCAGAAACATTTTATTACTGTTGTGGTCGCAGGGGAAGAAGGACAGGAGAAACTGTATCAGCTACACGTACGTAGCCTACTGAGGAGTGGATGCCATTCGATGATCGATACTATCAACCTGAAAACATACTGAAAATGACTGTATAAAGCCCAAATGGCGTATGCACGCGTTTTGTGGCCTAGCGGTAAGCTTGGTTCACAGATACTCTATTCTCCGGCTGTTCTATCTATCGGTCAAGTCTTCAGGGGTGTTGAACGCCTTTCATCTTTTCAATCTGGGGGGTCTTGATGTTGTATCATAGAGCCGTATTTCAACTCCAGCTGTAGCATTTTGACCATTTGCTTTAAGCCATCTGCTTTAGTTGCCTTGGTCAATCCATCTGCAAGCATTTCAGACGTAGGAACGTAGAATGTCTTGATATCACCATACTCGATAAAGTTTCGAATTGCATGATACCGTATGCGAATATGCTTGCTGCGTAGGTGGTTGACTGGATTAGATGTTAGCGCCAAAGCACCTTGAATGTTGATTCCCAATTGGGTTGGCTCTTTGGGATACTTCCGGATGGCCGCTAGGAAATGTCAGATCCAGATAGCCAGCTTTGATGTCTCTGCAGCTGCAATGTATTCCGCCTCGGTAGTTGACATAGCAGTGATGGGTTGCTTTCTGCTACACCTGCTTTCTGCTACACCAACGGACTGGTCCGCCTGCCATCACGAAGACATAAGCGCTTGTTGAGCGATACTTGGTGGCGTTTCCATATGACGAATCTGCATAGCCTACTAGTGTCCCTTCACTCCCCTTTGCACTGTATGTAATACCATAGATAATAGTCCCTTTAACATAGCGAAGGAGTTGTTTTGCAGCTCTGAGATGGACATCTCGGGAATCTGCGAGATATTGACTTAATCGGTTGACAGCAAACTGGATATCTGGTCTGATGCCACCAGCTGGGTATGTAAGTCGTCCAATAATCTTCCTGAATTTGCCATGCAGATCGCGGCTGAGCTTCCTAGGTGATATATCGTCTAGATCAATACTAGGGCTAAGTGGAGTAGTTTGAGGTGTCGATTTAGTCATTTCAAACTCTTCCAGAACAGATCGTGCATAGAACTCTTGGACAAGTCGGATAGAGGCTTTGTTCCAGGTAATCCATATTCCCAATATCTTCTGAGCAAGTTTTAGATCTTTCATGGGATGAAAACGCTTTTAAGTGATCCTTCGTGGTTTCAATATCTCTAGTATCATCACTAAAGATCAAAATATCATCCACATAAAGCGCTATAATAACACCATAATAAAGAGTTCAGGATCTGCAGTGCTTTGTTGAAATCCGATTGAGGCGACAAACTCTTTAACCTTCTGGTTCTGGGGATATGCACATTGTCGAAGACCATATAATGATTGTAGGATCTCACACTCATCATTTGAATCATGAGATTTAGAACTAACACCTTCTGAAATCTCCATATAGATCTGCTTGCCAATCTTTGATCCAACACAGACATTTGTTGCGTCGAGCCAACGTGCTTTTAGACCATAGGTTGCTGCTAAAGCAAACAGAACTCGAAGTCTTTCTAATCAAATGACTGGGCCAAAGGTGTCTTTATAGTCCAATGCTTCGCGTTGGGAGAAGCCTAGTGCAACTAGTCGAGCTTTAAATCGATCAATTCGTCAATCGGCTGAGTATTTAACATCGAGGACCTATTTAGTTGAGACCGCGGGTTAGTCTTTAAGTCTTTTGACGTATCTCCAAGTCCCAAATCGAATTAGATTATTAAGCTCGAGCTTTATCGCCTCTTTCCACTTGGTTGCGTAGATAGGATCATTGATTGCCTCTTTGTAAGTCTTCGGAAATAGGAATAGTATTCTGCCCGTTGAATTTCCCATGGGCTGTGGCTTTAAAAGCATCATGCTCACCAAGGTAGAGCCCGAGCGCGACAGCTAGATTAGCCACTTCGTTGATTCGCTGCTGTTCTGCAGCTATAAACCGTAAAGAAGTTAGTTGGCCCCCTCTCTTCTCTACGGCGCGGGGCTCGTGGCTTTCGCCCATAGATGGCCTCCGTTTGCTTCGATTCGATAATTGCCCGAGTGGTATGGCTTCGCTTTGAGTCACGATCCTTTGGTCGTCCATTGGTTTCATCTTGTTCCCTGCCTTTCTTAGGAGCTCTGTGTTAGGGCACGTCCCTAGACTAGATGCCTCAGGCAGCCATATTGTGGTAAGGGACATGTGACCCACGAAGAGGGTATATAGAATCAGAATAGGAGATGGTTACCATGAGCCAGCGATTAGTCTTGTTACGAAGTGATAGATACGTTTCTACCATGCTTTCTAAATACACGTATTGATCCTGTGCAGGCTTGTCATCGATAAGTTGCCTATCGATAACTATTGACAAAAATCATTATGTGGGTTATGTGGTTGCAGATGAGCTGGACTCTTTTTATAACAGAGTACACAGAACCATTTGTTATGCCAAGCTGGGGACCGATTCTTCCGAGATTTTTCAAGGTTCACATGACCTGCAACTTGGAATCTGTTGAGAACTCACAGTAGGTCAAGGGAATTGACATAAAATAGAGAGAACTAAGCCATTGAATTGGATGGGCGTACTTAAGTTAGAATACAAAATTCATATGTGGGAGGCACATTATATAGGCGAGTATCTAGCTGATCCTTCGGATCCTTCGGGGCTGACCTCATTCATAACAGAATCAAAGACCTTTTTTCCCCGATACCAAGTCTGACAAACCCTAGCCTCAAGCAATGTCTCCGGTGCCCACTGCATATCAACAACCACGAAGTCCGCAGAGAGACCCTTCTTAAGACTACCAGTCCAACTTTCCGCAAAGCGTGCATAAGCCGCACCAGTAGTGGCGGCCGTAGCAGCCTCGACCAACCCAAGCCCGAAATGCGGATTAACAGTCGCATCACTCTCCGTTTCTATAGCCGAGCGCCTAGTAGTAGCATTGTACATATTGGGGAAAGGCATATGAGGAGCCGTAGGCGCATCAGTACCAATAGCAATAGGAGCCCCACCCTCCAAGAACTCCTTATAAGCAAACGCACGCTTACAACGGTCACTACCAACAAGACCAGGCCACGCCTTGAAAAGGATAGGATCAGAATGAACGGGCTGGATCGAAGCGGTGATACCAAGTTCTCCGAGGCGCTTAGCATCTTCCGAAGTCGTCAATTCCAAATGCTCGATTCTATGTCGTGCGCCTGGCGTGCCGACTCGCGAGAGGATGTTGATTGCTTGGTGGATTGCTTGATCGCCGATTGCATGGAATGCGCATTGGATTCCGGCGGCGTCGGCGCGCTGGACAACTTCTTGGAGGTTGTCATCTGGCCAGAATGGGTCCACGGGGTCTGATTTGCCTGTGTATGGTTGCATGAGAGCGGCGGTGCAGCCGTCGACGACGCCATCGCAGACTATTTTTATCCCCAAGACGCAGAAGTCGGGTTCGTTGTATTTTTTGTGGAGTTCGATTGCATGGTCAACGTATTTCAAGTTCGCGCTTTGGTCTGCTTCCCAAGGGACTAGCCAGTGGGCGCCGATGTGGAATGGGATCGTGTGGTCTTGTCGGTAGAGGTTCAGGATCTCCCAGGCTTCTTCGGTCATGGCCATGTCTACCAGGCCGGTGTATCCGGCTGCGGTGTATGCCTTGACGGCTGCGTCTACGGCGTCTAGTTTGTCCGCTGTGGAGGTGACCCTTTCTAGATGGGGCCAGAAGACGTTCACGAGGGCTGCTTCATCAAGAAGGCCTGAGGCCTTCCCGTTTTTATCGCGGTGTATGGTTCCTCCTGGCATGTCGGGGGCAGTATGGGCCTTCATTTCGTCGAGGGCTGCTGAGCTGCACCACACGGAGTGGAGGTCGAAGGCATCGACGAAGATCGGGCGTGGGTCAATACCATCCAGCATGCTGGCTAGTGCGACTCCATTTGTGGAGTTTTGAATCCAGCCTCGGCATAAGATCCGAGGAATCGAAGGATGAGCCTCAGCGTAGGATTTGATCGTTTCGCGAATTTGTTCCAGGGATGTGCATTCAGTGAGGTTAGCTTTGCGGACGGATAAGCCGTACTGTAGGATGTGTATATGTGCATCGATAAAACCAGGAATCACAGTTCGGTTTTGTAGGTCAATGACTGTCGCATCTTTTGGGGTGGCTGTCTCATCTAGAGGGCCGATATATGAGATTTTGCCGTCCTCAATGATCATGCTTTCGACGAAGTCTTGGCCATTGTCTGAGGCTGAGGGCACGAAGAAACGCCCATTCTTGAAAACAGTTGCCATAGTGCTGAGAAGAAATATATGATCAATGAGCAGCAGAAATGAGGATGCGGCTATGAAGTATTTATGCCTCATGCGGGGGGCCTAAAATGGTATTTGGGTCCGAATCCCCGAATTCCCCGGAAACTTCCTTTCGAGGAATTTTGAGATAATCGAGCAGCCGAGTATCTTGGATGAGACAGTATCAAGGGAATCTTGGGAGGAAAAATAGTGAAGTGATACGGGGGGAATTGGGGCTAGCGTTTCTCGGTGTTCCGTGAAACTCAACAGGCGACTAGATTGCTAGATTGTTCATTACTTACCTCTTAAATTAGAACATGCCGCGAAGCTCAAACTGAATTCGAAGTCTATTTCCCACGGATGATGTGGCAGAGGTAAATTGCTAGGGTAGAGTGAGATAAGACTGGTAGTAATCGGGGACTGTAGATATCGGCTCCGTGATATAGATAAGGTTTATTTTATATATAACCGAGAAATCTTGGCAATTCCTTGAGTGTGGAGATAGTTAATGTGGGGTACACCGAACACCGAACGCTGAACGAGTACACAGATCAGGTGCCGCTTCAGAGAAGCCGCAAGCCAGCCCCACCAGTCTTGGCAGTAGTGATTGACTAGCGCGGCGTCCCACCCTTAGATGTTGGAACATACAGTCGTCCTACGCCGCGTGGTTGCAGATGAGCTGAGGTCAACTTTTTCCTCATGCGGGACAAAATCGATTACATAAGCGACAAGCCGGCTAACGTATTTCACTGGTGAGCGGGCCACACCGACGAGCGGGCCACCTCCGTATCCCATACTAAACAGTCACTTTTTAAGGTCTGATATCTCAACCATCATTAGCTATATTATAATAATATACTTATAGAAGCTGTATATAGGCTTTCAGAACATGTTTTTCTACTCTATATAACTATAACTTATTTTAAGTGCTTGTAATATTAGTATAAAATAAATTACTAAAAAATACAATGTAATATATATTACCTCAAGATATATAAACTTATATCCTTTAAAATCTAAATACTGATAT